AATGTATTTATTTTGGCAAGATCTATTATTTATTTGAATCACTATTCTAGTAAATGACATTAAATAAAAGAGTCGGTAAATTTAAATTTTAAAGATTTGTTGATCACAAGAAGTTGTGATTATGAGATATAAATAACAATATGACTGAATCTTAAATCATCCGTGGATATAAGCAATAACGAGATATGAATATCGTTATCACAGATAGACCATCACGTGTAGTATTTCTTACTTGTGAAGTAAGTAGCTGATTTCACATGCTAAAGTGTAGTGACACTTAAATGAACATTTGAATATTTTGTTATAGAACAAAACATTGGAAACTCGCTTAGGAGATTCAAAATGGATAACTATTTGAGTGTTAGTGGTTAATTTCTAATATTCGGAAGTAGAATTGGCCCTTCGACTTAAGGTCATCATAGTGTCTTATAAGAGGACAGTCATACTTTAGTGATGTTATATGTTGCTCTACCAATACTCGCTAATATAGAGGTTGTGAATGATTAATAGATGATTCGTCACATTTAGATAGTAAGAGATTATGATCTATATTTCATTAATTTAAGTTGATGATGATGTTCTTTGCCAAAGTATACTCATATGTCGAAATGGAGTTTTTTTATTTACATTGATTTAGTAGCGGGATGAAAGATATGAGATTAACAGAAAGATATGATCGATAATTGAGATTGACACATATTCACATCTCATAATTTAATGGATTATACTAACGAAAATATTATAATTTCACTGTAAATGAACATGTTTAGTTTTGTTTTACCACTCTACATTTCCTGTCATATGTATTGTTTTGATACATTGCTAGATGTCAATCTGGGACGACAAATGTGAATTAGTCATAAATTAAAAATTGGGTATTTTGATTTATCGATTTTGATTGAATCAAAATAATAATTCAATCGTTAGACATTGTGATTGGAAAGTTAATGGGTCACATACAAAAGGAGAATTAGAAAAATGAGGTTTACCAATTACTTAATTCACAAGTGTTAGATAATTAATTAATTAGATTGCTAGTTAATAGGGTCAAGAAATAATTAATTTATGGACCAAATATAATTAATTTGATTAACTAAATATTGGATCGTATTAAGTTAAGAGACGAGACAAGCCCGTTTGGACTTATATTAATAGGCTATTAGGATTTGAAAAACTGTAGAGAACATAACTATTCTTCCTAACACACACAAAAAATAAAAAAAGCCTTGGTCTCTCAATCTTATTCGCTGTGTAGATTTTTATTTGAGGTTGGATAATTGAACAACTGTGGATTTTAGTTCATGATTGTTTGAGTTCAAGAAAAGTAAAGGAGTTTGTAAAATTCGACAAGGTATAATTCTTATAACAGTTTCTATCTATATAAAAAGCATATCATTGGTGGGAATTGAAATTTATTTTATTTTTAACTGTGTATGATTAAGTAAATTTTCCACATAGGGCCATTGAAAGGACAGCGGCATAAATTGAAGACTTTCACTTCTAACCCTAATTGCCTTCGTCTCTTACAGTGTTATCTAAAATCAGTCTCTATTGTGAGATTATTGTGTACTTTGGTTGCCATAATGTTGTTGATACAGTGGTTTGCTACAGATTGATGGTCTTGTATTGTAGTTTGGCGGTTGAAAACTCTATTATGTTTCAGTGTAGTTTGAAGAGATATCTTGAATTTATAAGTGATTTGGGATCTCAGAGTGGGCAATTAATCAATTTAGTGGGATCTTTCTTTCACATTTTTTTTTCCATCAAAAAAGTTCCCCAAAACTCTTTGACCCCTGAATTTGGAGTATCCTACTTTCACGCAATTCACAGCATTAACAAGCAATCGATATTTCACGATCAAGGATATAATACTTTTCTGACGTTGTTGATTCCATACCACTGTATTACAATAAACAACAAAGTCATCACACAAGCAAAGGAACCAAGGTCTAATCAATGATCCAAACAAGTGCTAAGACAGTATCATCTCATCAAGGAGATTATACAAAGAAACAACGTGAAGATAGAGCGAGTTCCCATAGACAATAATATTACAGATCCATTGATGAACTGTGGCCACCGCATAAACATGATCATCATGTAGACGCTTATGATATTAGATACATGACTGGTTGGATCTAATGTAAGTGGGAGTTTGTAAGTGTTATGCTTTAAGTTCAAGCAATTTATGTTATAAACACTTTTAATATATTTAATGTATTTATTTTGGCAAGATCTATTATTTATTTGAATCACTATTCTAGTAAATGACATTAAATAAAAGAGTCAGTAAATTTAAATTTTAAAGATTTGTTGATCACAAGAAGTTGTGATTATGAGATATAAATAACAATATGACTGAATCTTAAATCATCCGTGGATATAAGCAATAACGAGATATGAATATCGTTATCACAGATAGACCATCACGTGTAGTATTTCTTACTTGTGAAGTAAGTAGCTGATTTCACATGCTAAAGTGTAGTGACACTTAAATGAACATTTGAATATTTTGTTATAGAACAAAACATTGGAAACTCGCTTAGGAGATTCAAAATGGATAACTATTTGAGTGTTAGTGGTTAATTTCTAATATTCGGAAGTAGAATTGGCCCTTCGACTTAAGGTCATCATAGTGTCTTATAAGAGGACAGTCATACTTTAGTGATGTTATATGTTGCTCTACCAATACTCGCTAATATAGAGGTTGTGAATGATTAATAGATGATTCGTCACATTTAGATAGTAAGAGATTATGATCTATATTTCATTAATTTAAGTTGATGATGATGTTCTTTGCCAAAGTATACTCATATGTCGAAATGGAGTTTTTTTATTTACATTGATTTAGTAGCGGGATGAAAGATATGAGATTAACAGAAAGATATGATCGATAATTGAGATTGACACATATTCACATCTCATAATTTAATGGATTATACTAACGAAAATATTATAATTTCACTGTAAATGAACATGTTTAGTTTTGTTTTACCACTCTACATTTCCTGTCATATGTATTGTTTTGATACATTGCTAGATGTCAATCTGGGACGACAAATGTGAATTAGTCATAAATTAAAAATTGGGTATTTTGATTTATCGATTTTGATTGAATCAAAATAATAATTCAATCGTTAGACATTGTGATTGGAAAGTTAATGGGTCACATACAAAAGGAGAATTAGAAAAATGAGGTTTACCAATTACTTAATTCACAAGTGTTAGATAATTAATTAATTAGATTGCTAGTTAATAGGGTCAAGAATTAATTAATTTATGGACCAAATATAATTAATTTGATTAACTAAATATTGGATCGTATTAAGTTAAGAGACGAGACAAGCCCGTTTGGACTTATATTAATAGGCTATTAGGATTTGAAAAACTGTAGAGAACATAACTATTCTTCCTAACACACACAAAAAATAAAAAAAGCCTTGGTCTCTCAATCTTATTCGCTGTGTAGATTTTTATTTGAGGTTGGATAATTGAACAACTGTGAATTTTAGTTCATGATTGTTTGAGTTCAAGAAAAGTAAAGGAGTTTGTAAAATTCGACAAGGTATAATTCTTATAACAGTTTCTATCTATATAAAAAGCATATCATTGGTGGGAATTGAAATTTATTTTATTTTTAACTGTGTATGATTAAGTAAATTTTCCACATAGGGCCATTGAAAGGACAGCGGCATAAATTGAAGACTTTCACTTCTAACCCTAATTGCCTTCGTCTCTTACAGTGTTATCTAAAATCAGTCTCTATTGTGAGATTATTGTGTACTTTGGTTGCCATAATGTTGTTGATACAGTGGTTTGCTACAGATTGATGGTCTTGTATTGTAGTTTGGCGGTTGAAAACTCTATTATGTTTCAGTGTAGTTTGAAGAGATATCTTGAATTTATAAGTGATTTGGGATCTCAGAGTGGGCAATTAATCAATTTAGTGGGATCTTTCTTTCACATTTTTTTTTCCATCAAAAAAGTTCCCCAAAACTCTTTGACCCCTGAATTTAGAGTATCCTACTTTCACGCAATTCACAGCATTAACAAGCAATCGATATTTCACGATCAAGGATATAATACTTTTTGTATTAGCAGTCCTTATATTTCTTGAACCTGTCTGGGAGCAATTATTTCTTCAAATAATTGATTTCATTACTGTTGGAATGGGACCATTTCTACGAGACCTGACACTCTTGACCACTCAAATGCATTCAGTATTTTACCAATAGTCATTTATGCCCTTCATTGTTGGGCAAGTTTAAAATCTTGGAGGTTACATTGGTAACTTTAGAAAATGTGGTCCATAATTGTGGCTACTTTAGAAATTTTAAATGGTAAAATTTCCTCTTAATCAATCCCAGACAGGCACCTTATTGACAATCGAAATATAGTAAATTTTCAAAACTCACAGAAAAAATGAAGTGAATTAGACAAAAAGTATAGACTTGGGGAAAAAAAAAAAAGAATGCAATTGGACAAAAAGAAATGGAGTGACTGACTGGGATTGGCGTATAATTGTTCATTCTTATAACATTCGGTTGCTTTTTTTAAAGCGCTAAAGGCAGTTCTATAATTGTAGTCAAAGGGAGATGTAGACAATTCATTCAAGTGAACTCCCTTCTCTCTTTAAAGAGGCGAACTTACTTGGTGGTGTTCTTTTTCGTTACTTTCTGCAATTTTTAATGTGTTGATGTTTGATGCCGTCTACGATGATGGGCTGTGATCTGGGTTGAAGTTATAACACACGCCTTGATTTTATTAAGGTTAGAAATAAAAGCAATGAGTAGATAAGAATCTAGACTCCCCTTGTGACAATACCATGTAACATTTTGTCATTAACATTACAAACAACATTAACAACATGTACATATGACCATATATGTGTCTGTTTGCTCTAGTTTAGACCAGTAGGATTAAACAAAGAAAGCTCACAAATATTACCAGACTTCTTATTTATACTAATCCATCTCTAGTCTCTATCCAGATTACTAGACTTAGCGAAGCCACCAGGTACAGCGGTCATCCCTTGATCTGGTGGCGCAGAAGTTGATTAGTATCACCTCCGTCTGCAGATGGAGCTCTGCCGCCAGTTGCGGTGGCTGCAAGTTATCCCGGCAGAGTGGACATGTTCTGTGACCATATCCTAACCACCTTTCCAAGCAAACACTGTGATAAAGATGGTTGCATCTGAGCTCTATAACCTCATCCCCTTCATTAATTCTGCATAAGCAAACGGCACACTCGATGGAAGAATCCCCACAGTCATGATTGTTACTTTCATAACACGTTACACTATGGTCATCAACATAGTTTGGTAACTCGAATATTCCGCGAGGCCCAAAAAAGGACTGGATAAGAAGGTATTCCCAAGCCCACTTCACCTTGCGTGCAATCAGAAATATGTATGTTAATACAGCCCAACTTGGCAGCAGCATTACTTGAATCATTATATATAACTATAGGGAGAGAAAGAGAGATTCTTGGGATATAATGGCAGGTTCTGAATTGCTTGGATCAAGATATATAGCCATTTTAGAGAGAGAGAGAGAAAGAGAGAGAGAGCATAATATATGCTATTTTGTAAGACCAGTACACAGAATTCCGTTGAACATAATTTGCCACGGGTCAATGAAGAATAGTTTTACAATAATTTCTATTTGTAGGTTTGCTGATTTCTTATAAACCGTGCTGTTGAGTAAAAGATGGCATTCCAATTACGCTGGAAAATCTTTACCCCAGCAGCAAATCTGGTCTATAAAAATTGCTCCCAACTTCTACTTGTCACTGTACAGCTATGAATCTAGAAGTATATTAGAGAATGTAATTTTCTCTTCCAACCACCAAAGTCAAAGTCCATTAAACGATTTCTATGCCATCTGATTTCTACGCAGGTGGAGCCGTGGAGGGTGACACAATATTGTTAAAGCCTGTTAAAGAATTAATCTTACATTGATTAAATACGCAAATAATAATCGGCATATAAGGATTTAGACTACCATTTTAATAAAGTTGATCTTTTAATATAGAACTCCAAGAGTATTCAATATGATTATTGAGGATTGCCGAGGACAAGAGCTGCTTAAAGAATTCACATAATTTTGATTATAATTACATTTTAAATCAATCATTAAATTAATTTAATATTTACAATTCACAAATTATTGTTTATGTACTAAGCTGTGTGATAATAAAACTATCCAATGAAACAAGGAATAACTATGGTGTAATTGAGTAATGTTATTCAGTCCCATTTGGCCCCCATTTTGTGGAAATGAAAATGGGTGGAATAGTATTTTTTTTTAATTTAAAAATGAGTGGTTAAAAAAAAAGAGAAAAAGTTTTTGATTTACGTATAATATTAGTTTATGAAAGGTTATGTAGTTGAAAATAGGAGAGAGAAAAATGAAATGTAATGAAAGAAAAATTGATGGGAACCAAACGGGGGCTTAGTTTCAGTAGTATTAAGCAATAGTTATGTGGTAGTGAGATTATTGTAAAATTATTAACTAAAATTGAAATGTAATTTCTTGTATTGAACAATGTGATAGTGATATGAGATTGATGCTTACACTATTGAGACTGGTAACTTGTAACGGTGCTGATGCAATTTTAAGTATGCGATAATTGATTGTCAAAGAAAAGTACCCCAGCAGAAACGGGTCAATAAGAATGTTTACCATTTTCTAATTTTTATAGTACGGCCTACAACGACAGTAAGCATGAAACAATTATATGAAAAATCCTAAAGCTAATTGTTTAAGGAAATTTTCATAAAAAAGAGTTCAAGTATCATATATTTCAAAATCAAGAAAATAAGTTTTAAATTTCAAAAATTAGATTTTTTTATCACAAATAAGTTAATCAATTAATCATTTTATTAATTAAATATATTTAGATCACAAATCTATAATTTTGTCACAAATTACTGATTTAACTTGTCACTTATTATTTTTTGATCACAAATCAGAAATTTTATATTACAAATCATTTCACGATCATAATTCAAAAATTTTATAGGTCATAGGTTGTTCATCGGTCATAAATTGAAAAATTTATAAGTCACGATTTAATTATTGTTCATAAATCACAAATATTACAAGTCAAAACTTATTATATAGTCAGAAGTTATCAAATCATCGGTCATAGATGAACAATATTTTATGTCACACATTATTTCTTGATCACAGTTCATCTTTTTCATTGGTTACATATTATTTATTGGTCACAGATTAACAAATTTAATGGTCACAGTCAACCAGATAATTTGTGACCACTATCATTACTTGTGACCACCACATCATTGTAGCTTCCAAAAGTACCACCGCTGCCATCACCACCTTCCAACCCCACCACCACATCAAAAAAATCAACACATTGTAGAAAAACACTGTCAAATTGTCGCACCAAATCCATCCCCACAGACCTACACCACCAATACTTGGTTACAAATCACCACCACACAACCACCGCCTGCACCACAGCACCAACAAACATCCCTACCCACGCTGTCCCACCCACAACCACCGCCACCACGTCACCACTGCAACCAATATCACAACCACTACCAACAAATCAGATCCCACTACCAACACTAATGCAACACCACAGCCACCAACATCACCACCTCACCACTATTACAACCACCACCAACTAGATTTGAACCCATACCACCACCATCACCTCTAGCAGCCCTAATCCACAACAGGTGTCATCACGACCACCACCACCATTTCCAAACCACCAAAAACACCACCCCCAAAATAGAGGCATGTTTTCCTGTCTTCCGTTGCTAGATCGAGTCATTGTGACACTACTGACCATACTAAGATTGAAACTAGGTCGAGCAACATCGCTGAGAAGGAGAATGCCGCCAATTACAGCGACGTTGGATGGAGATCGAGGTTGTTCCTCACTACTTGCAGCGGCCAACACCATCAACAGTGAACAACATAGGAATGGATGTAGAAGACAAAAAATGAAGAGAGATCATGCACGACAGTTCTTGTCGTTGTGCGCGCAGCGACCGTGAGTGCCTTCATCGTGACGATCTTCCAGTGCTGGGTATGGTGTGAGGGGCGAAAAATGAAGATGATTAAGTTTTGTGGGGTTGGGGTAGTACAACGCCTTGAGTGGCAATGGTGCGAGGGAGGAGTGGTGACGATTCCGTGGGTGGCCATGCTAGAGGGAGGAGAAAAGATGAAGAGGGAGAAAATGGTAGTTGTGGAGAGGGATATGGCTATGAAGAGAGAGAGAAAATGATGGAAATAATTTTAGAATTTGGGATGAAAATTGTATATTTACTATTTAATATTTAATATTTAAATATGATATATATGACTTTTGAAAAGTGAAATTTGTCATCTGATTTTAGAACTCACATTTTTAAAAGTAGGGTTTTGTGTAATTTCCACAATTGTTTATTTATAGATGTTTAAGTGGGTTGGATCCACCCACTAAAGGTAAGCTGGCTCACTTGTTAATTAATTTAATTAATTAAATTTTGCCCAAAAGTCCATTAATAAATAATTCAATTAATTAATTCTACAAATGTATCACACTTATTATCAATTAATTAATTCTTATTATCATGATTCTAATTCTCCCTTATGTATGATTCATTAGGATTTTGTTCACGATGTCGAATTATTATTTTGATCTAATCAAAATAAAAAATATTAAAACTCCCTTTTAATTTATCATTAATTCTCTTAAATTAATTAATTTGCATTCGCAATCCCAAATTGACATCCAACAATGTGTCAAGGAAATACATGTGACAGGAAATGTTAGGTGGCATGACAAAATCAAATTTGTTCATTTATCGTGAAACTATAATCCATTTGTCATATAATCCGATCAAATGCAAAATATGGAAGTGTGTCAATCTCGATTATCGATCATTTCTTTCATCCTATCTTAAGTTAATGATAGTTGAAATGCTTTCAACTCATGAACTCACATTGATCAAGAATTTCGTTATCAACTTAACCGAATGAAATGTAGATCATAATTTCCTTTTGTCTAAGGGTGACGAGATCTCTTTTGATCATTTACAACGATTGTACGATTCTTGACATATCCGAATGATGTTATATTAGCGACTCTTGAAAGAGTAGCATCCAACATCAACAAAATATAACTATCTAGTCTGTCATCATATAATGTATCGTGAGATCTCATGTCGAAGGACCAATTCCACCATCGAACATTGGATACTAACCACTAATGCACTTAGATAATTATTGATGTGGAATCTTTGTTGCGGTTCTCCAATATTTTGTTCTCTTAGCAAAACATCCACGCGTCCATTTTAATGTCACTACATTTTAATTTTTGAGATTAGCTACTCACTTCATAAATGAGAAATGTTGCACGCGTTTGTCTTTCCGCAATAACGATATCCGTGTCTCGTTATTACTTACGACCATGAATAATTTAATATTCAGTCATATGTAAATTGTATTTTACAAACACAACTTCGTGTGATTAACAAGTTACCGAGACTTGAATTTACATACTCTATTAATTTTAATTTATCTGAATAATAATTCAATTAAATAATATATTTGTCATGATTAATAATGTATCAATTATATTAAAAATGTTTACGTCCAAAATCGATTGAATATAAGACACAACATTTACATATTGAACATCGCATGCACAAAACGAATTTCTGAAAAATAAAATATAACAAAAAATCAAATTAATGCTATAATTGAATAAAATAAGTATAAACAACAAATAGTCCGTGCAAAGGCACCAACAAGTTGTTCACTTCGATCACGAATGCACAATTTCGAGACAAGTAATAAAATGATAAATGGAAATATTCATGCACAAATATTGCGTTATTAATTATCAATTTTAGATTTATCCTAACTATTATTTATACAATTAACTCACGTTGGTTGGTGGTTTTTTCTACTAAGCTAAAAACTAAAAATAGCAAATGTGATCAACAATGTAAACTTGTGAAAACTTTTGACGATTGAAGTGTTCGGACTATGATATCATCATAGTTAATCCAATTCAATTTCGTTTATCAAATTTTATCAATTCAATTTCGTTTATCAAATTTTATCAATATAAACCACGCAATTCACTGAATTTTCCTAACATATTAAGTCCCTCTCAAGTATAATAGAAACTACTTTTATGCACGAATGAAATATTTCTCGATGGGAAAAATGCAATAGAAACTAAAAGTTTACACATTATAAAATTAACGACATGAGTAAAATCTCTCTATCCTACCGAAATCATGGTTTTCATTAGATTGGAAAAAAAGATATTGATCTCATCGCAATTCATGAAACATTCAACTACTAGCCAGATAAGTGAAAGCATTAAATACAAGAAAGAAAACAAAAGAAAGAGAAAATAAACGTCAAAATCCAAAATTGAAATTAAACCATCAAAACTAGACGGCTACATTATTCTTCCT